AGGGAAAATCAATTCAAGTGTGTTTGATTGGTATAATTTTCCACCCGAAAAATTTTTAAATTTTCTATTCGTTTGACTTTATTTTACATGAAAATTGTCCATTAAAGTTAATTTTTTTTTTTTTACAATTGGTCATGACATTTATTTCCATTGCCAAAAAAAAAAGGGCCGGCTACCTGGAAAACAGTTTCCCACCAAAAAGGTGGGAAAACCTTTTCATTCAAAAAGAAGAAAACAGGCGCGTGGACTTGGAGGTTGGAAAATTTTTGCCATAGAAAATAGTGGCTATCAAACATGCCAAATCCAAGAAGAAGGAAATATTTTTCCAAGTTCCATGGAAAATTAGGCTTATCAAACATGGCCAATACATCTCATTAACATCAATCAGCACAAGGTCATCATATCTCAGGTATCTTAAAAAGCAGTTACCTGGAATTGATAAACAATATTAAATTCAGCAGTCTCGTCTTCAAATATATTGGGGTGTTCTTTAATGATCAAACTGACAAACAAAATGTTATATGCGATGGAGATGTAAAAAGCCAGCATAAAGAACTCAAGAAAAAACAGTATTTGAGAATGGTGCACTGAATTATCAAAGAAAATAACTAACTGGATCCTGCAACCGGTTGATGGATCAATTCAGCCAAAATAGAAAGTCAATGTGCATCTGACATTTGTTAAGACATCTACCAAATCGGAAATTATAGCCATACCACACTTTAGGTCTCCCTAGAAGTTCATAATGAAAGGTGGAGCTTGCAACAGCTAAAAGCGAATTCCTTGGTTTGTGCTCTATGACAGAATAAAAAAGTGTAGGAAATCAAAGATAGACAGGATTTAAAACTCATTATAGGACAGAAAATAAGAACATACAACGGGAGAATCAACCGAAACTTTGAGCGCACGAATCTAATCAATGGAAGAATTGCCGACTGAGACCAATTTTGAATAAATGTTTTGGACATTCTGCCATTTAGCAATGTCAAAGCATTCTGAAGATAGAATAAAAGGGTGCAAATGTAACTAATTATGAGAAGTAAAATATTACATGAAATAGAAAACGTTATCCACAAAAGTGGAACACTATCGAAGGGAATTAAAAGAATAAAGAAATTGCTCATGTTCCAGAAGATTATAATTAATAATAAAGCAGTTTCTAAGACACAATACATTAGCTTGGAAATGAGAAAAGCTTGCACCATTTTTAGCGGCAGCCATAATGAGATTTGGCCACAATTCACTTTCCAATAGTATGATTGCATTTGTCTTCCAATAACCAATGAAAGCGCCCACGACAATAGGCATGTCAAGTGGAGCAAACTGGTTCATGTAGGTGTTAGTGTAGCACTCTCATTTACAGTTTCATATATGTACGAGGAAATAAAGTTCTAACTTAGACAAATGATAAATTCCAAGAAAAACCTTGAGCTAAAAAGTGCTGAATGCTGACATACATAACATTTTCTTATTCAATAGACATCTGTACACGTGCACTTACATGCATGAGCATGCATTTGTATAAACAACACTAGTGAAATAGCTCTTCCCTCCCAACTGTGTTACAACTCACAATCGGAACTCTCACACTCTAGCTAATTCATTTCTCAGCTTGATCTAATTAAACATCATGCTCATGACAGTATCTTTAGATCTATAAAGGTTCTAACCCTAAAAGGGATAAAAAGAACAAAATGATACATGAAACACAGTTAAGAATCATTTTATTTTGACAATTCAATAAATTATCAATAAAAGTGTGAATACTCTAATCCACCCCCAGGCAAAAAGATTTTACACATAATCTTACAGTTTTGCTAGACAAACACCAATTATAGCTCCATAGCAGTAACAAATATATAGGTCGGATAAGAATTTGTTACACATGGAAAAGTAATAGGTCTGCTCGTTTGAAGTTTCTTTTGCACTTACAATGTCACACAACATATTGTGTAAAAAAAAAAAAAAAAGGAAGAACACATTTACCCTCACATGATTCGCTCTAATTATTTTACCTTTGGACAACTTTCACTGTAGTTGCCAATCTTGTTGATGAGAACACTTAAAACATTGAATGTTATTGATGCATATATGTGTGAGATGGGGCTGGGGGAGAATTTCACTTCATAAAAGTGGTAAAATACAAAAAGAGTGCAGTATGGTCACAAGTGAGTACAAGCTAGAGGATACATAATTCAATTAAAAATATTATCAATAATGATTAATGAAAAAGCTCAACTATAAATGTTAACATTAACTAAAAATATTGCAAAACTTACGAATTTTAAGAACTAGATATATTTAGCCCCTGTTTGACAATCATTGTTTGAAAACTCTTTTTCTACATACTTATTTTCAACCAAACATTTACATAATAAAATATTCTGCAAGTAAACCATAAACTTTCCATATTTTTTAATTATACATTCTTCTAAAAATTACTATTCAAAACATTTTTTTTTCTCAAATAATGGCCATCAAACAAGGGCTTACACGCCGGAGGACACTTAACTCAAATGAAAGCATTATCTATAATGATTAATGGAAAAGCTAAAGTATAAATGTTAACATTAACTAAAATATTGAAAAAGTTACAAATATTAAGAACCTGATATATGACATCAATCAGAAGCAGGTTTTTCATCACTTCACTACAGAAATAAATGAAAAACCCAAGTACATAAAATATAATAGACTTGGAAAACAGACATATTTCAATTCCATCAGCATCAACAAAGTACAGAGAAATGCAGAAACAAAAGTGAATAATTGTCATTTCTTTACCCAAAAAATAATAAATTGTCTTTAAATGAACAGGGAAACCAATTTCTGCTAGCTCTATCAACATGAAATACTCTGCAAACAGTATTGAGTAAGACCCATCTCAACGTAGTAACCTTAGAAATCAAGACAGTTCTAAGGTGAAGCCTAAGATTTGGCTTTTAACCATTTACTTGTTCAAATCACGTCATTGTCACTCCTAAATGCATAGCCAACAGATCCCAGAAACCATTTTTTCTGTGTATGCCTTTGTGGAGATCTAGAAACTATGGTACTCCAAAAGGAATATCATGTCATGGAAGATATTTTCCTGAGGAATCTATCATTATCATCTACGGAGATTGCTCAACTTTCTTGAAATGTCCTTGGGAGGGTTGGGGTGGGGGGGAGAGGGCCTAAAAGCAAATGCATGAAAAAAGAAAATTCTCAGCTCATAAATTCGTGCAATAAAATTATTTTGTTAATTATGTCAACCTATATTCCTCCAATGAACCACGTTTTTTGCCACTGGCAATGAACCAAAAAGTATTGCCGCAAATTACTTGTACAGAAAGGCATACTACCTTGTGCAATATCACTTAATCCCGTGTTCACAGATTTTACATCCATATCAAGAGGTACTGTGAATGAGCCAAAAAATGTTCATAA